ATCACCGTCTTTAAATGGGAGATTCCTTGAGGCCTGTGACTTGTTGACGTCACGGGATGCCCCTGTGTAGGCTCGTACCTCTGCCTCCCCCTCACTCGGCGTAGACACCCAGGCGAAGACAGGCAAGGCACTGGGCTCCAGTTCCCATCATCTCAGTCTGACAATATATCGTAACCATCCAACAAGTGTGTCTACCTTCAACCCTCAATATCTCCATTTAAGAACCCCTACGATAATACATCTATGTGGTATGTGTGCACCACATAAAACAGATCCTGCAGCACACTGTGTATAATGAGAGAAAAAAAACTGAAATCATGATTTTTCGATTAAAACAGCGACTTTGCAGTGTTTTTTCGAATGTTTTTTATAGTTGTATTTGTGATTTCTTGGTCTCATTTGATAGAATGGAAGACATATTACAGAAATAGAGATGATTTTGATTGGTTTTAGCACTAGAAATGGCTTGAAACTGAGCTCAAAGTAGCAGAAATGTTAAATTTTTGCCGATATTCAAGAGTAAACAAACGACCTCACACGTCTAATACACGCCAGCTGGTGGGTCTAATGTGCATTCACAAATATGGTGATGATATTTATACAATTATTACAGTATTGCATAACAGTAAATCTTCTATTTTTTGGTGTGAATAAAAATTCATTATGTGAATAAAAAATCAAAATGGAATTTATTTGTAAAGTCTCAAAATGTAACTAATGAACAGAGGAAATGTTAGTTTAGTTCCAGGAATACCTACATTGTTTATTCTGGACCCTATTTTGAAATTGGAATATTTTGAAGTTTGTGTTAAATTGGCCAAATTAACAATTTCCGATCACTTTAATTTGTAGTTGAAACAGTTGACTTGGCGATTTCTTGTGCTCAATCGATAGAATAGAAGTAATACTAGTGAAATAGCTAAGAATTTGGTTGACTGGAATAATGTAATTAGTCTAAAATGGGAGTCAAAGTCGGCAAAATCGCCGATTCGTAAATATCGCTGATACATCAAAATTTGTGAGAGCATAATTTCGTCAGTTTTCCATCAAATTTCATACTTTTTGTTTTATTACCTTCACAAAAAGATTCTCTATCATTTCATAAGAAAAAATAACAAATTTTTTTTTTTGAAAATTCTTGGCCTTGGACCCTGAAGGGGTTAAAAAAATACCTCATCTTAAAATGTAGATACCCAATGGACAATCTTACTATTGAGTCAGCCTTTCTTATATATTTACACAATGACAACATAATCATACAGTATTTGACAAATATATTATAATCAATAATGATTTTTTATTAGTAAATGCTCCTACAAATTCTACTAGCTTTAAGCCTTGACTGTATAAAGAAAATAGTAATGGTAACTTACCAGGCACTGTAAGGGGAATAAATGATGCTCCAGAAATGTCTTCTACTAAGGAAGTGGGGAACTGTTTATTGTGAAAACAAAACCCTCTTTCACTACTGCTATTATGGTCCTGTTTCACTGCTATTTGTAATGACATTTAGGCCACTACTTTCACTGTTATCTAAAGTGCTGCTCACACTGTTTTCACCACTAACTGTACAGCTGTGTCTGCTAATATTTCCACTGCTAATGCTCAAGTTGCTGAGGGAGTTATTTCTGTTAGCATTCGTCATGTCCTGTCTAATCCTTTTAGATTTCCTTTTAGGTACAGAGGCCAATAATGGCCTCATCTTTCTGCATCCAGAACGCTGTGGAGTTGAAGAGGTAAACAGCTGAGCAATGGAAAAAGAGAAAATATTGGGAGTGGAAGAGTTCAATGCCTGAGATGTAGAGGAAAATGATTCAGGAGTTTCATGGAAGTTAGGTGACTGGAATATTCCAGAAGTGGATCTTACAGTTCCCACTAGGGGTGTCTGGGCTTTACTGCTGACCCCATCACTCTGATAAGTAGCTTGGGAACTTGAGGAGAGTGATTCATCATCACTCAGGGTGATTGTTTCCACTGATGAGCATTCAGGTGTTGTGGCAGTACCCCTGCCATGAACTGAAAGATAAAAACATTGAAAAACTATCACAACCAATAATATACAATCAGTACATTGAAAATACTACTGCATATCTGTTTCAATCACTGCATGATCCAAGAAGAGTATCTACATAAAGTAAAATCTCTCATTAATAGATTTTTGGCAATTTTGGACAAAAAACTTGCCAGCCAAACAATTATTGGACAATGGTCTGTAATTCCGCATTTTGTCCATAATGAAAGTATCCAGTTGTCTTCTTAAGTACTGCACCAAGTTTGCTAACTCTGAAGATCATCTGGTACTGGCCAAAGTAGCCAAGTCCAGGACCTGTCCATTTTTGTTGCTCACTGAATTGTTGTCCACCTGTGCCAGTTTTATTGTTTGTGTTCACTCACTCATACACTCGTCATTCAGACTCTCATTTTCCCTGGATTTAGAGCATTTTGTTTGACTTTATTAACATATTAAGTAAACAATGGCTTCTAAAGCAAGTGGAGGAAGCAAGAGATAACATGTGTTTCTCATAATTAAGAAAAAACTTGAATAAATAAAGTTGAATATGGCATCTCAGCGGCACAGGTATGTGAAAAATATGGTGTTAGAACAGTGTTTGATATCTGTAGAAGAAAGAACAAACTTACAGTCTATGCTCTTAAGTTTAGTGTAGATGCTAGCCATAAATGTTCAACAATTAACCCTAGAAAGCATATGAAAACAACCCATGAAAACAAGGCTTGAAGAAGCAGTGCAGAAATGGAATATTCAGCAATGTTATGTTAGTGTCAATGTTTGTGGTGCTGATCTTCACTCTGCTGCTCATAAGCTAGCAAAGCATATAAATGTAGAATTTCAAGAAAGTAATGGTTGACTTTGGCATTTCTGTAAATCATCACGGCTTGAGTAACATGAAGACTTATGGCGAGGCTGGAAGTGGACCACAAAGTTGACCCAGTTCAGACTAATGTTAAATAATCTGACAGTGAGAAACTCTTATCTCAACTGTATAATGCTGATGAGACTGGTCTCTTTTGGCATTCATTCTCCTCCAACACACTAGCCTTTTAGCATGAAGACAGAATATCAGGCCATAAGCTCAGCAAAGACCACTTCTCAGTAATATGCTGTGCTAATGTTGATGGTTCTCCCATTTGAAACTGAGAGTCACAGGCAAATAAGAATGGCCTTATGCTTTAAAGGATTTCATGAATGAGTTGCTACTAAATTATTGCAAGGATAAGAAAACCTGGTTTGACATGGATGTATTTGACGACTGTTTTTTTGCACATTCGTCCCTGAAATACATAAGTACTAGCTAGTGGTCCTTAAACTAGATCCTGAGGATGTCAAGGCTCTTCTGCTTACCCATGGGCTGAAATTTATGCAGCACAGATGGTACAATTAATGCCATGTTTCTTCCCTTAATACCACCTCCCTAATTCAACCTATGGATCAGAGGAAGGGGGGTTATGAAGTCTGCAAGAGATTGTACAAGTCTAAGTACATAGGTGAAGTACTACTAGAGATGGAGAAGGATGAAGATTTAAAGACACCAGAGGCCTATGTATGATGGAGAACATCAAAAAGTATAACCCAAAGTCTGCCATCTTCAACCTTGCAGTATCATAAAAGGAACTGAAAAGGACAACATCAGACAATGTTTGTAAGTTTTTTTTTATATAACCACGATACTGAGTTGTACATGGAATGGTTTGATGCCAGTGATTTCATGGTATCCTTCAGAAGGTGGGAGAAACAGAAGTTATAGAGAAAGATGGAATGGCATGGATATAAGAAAATGATGGTGATCCTGGTTACCAAATGTTGAGTGATGCAGAAAGAACATAAGTGTCTTGGCATAGAAGAACAATGCAGCAATGATGATGACAAAGAAGAGATTGAAAGGCCACCAAAGCTGTCAATTAATGTTTTCATCAGGTACATTGACACCTCTGACAAAAGTGAAGTAAAGGTCCATTATCCATGCTTATGAATTCTTAGAGTGTATCGTAAGGTGCCATCATCAACATGGTATGCCATTAAAGCTGGATATAATCTTTAAACCTGTTCCTCTTTCAACAATTTTCAACCATTATAGCTTCTCTGCTCAGCCACCTACATCATCTCAGGCATCTACATCTTCTCAGCCATCTAACAGCTTCTCTGTCATCTACATCTTTTCAGCCACCTACATCATCTCAGCCATCTACATTATTTCACTAGGAGAGCTTCAGAGCTCCTCTGATTCGAACAAATGTTAGTCTGAGCCACCATTATCGATCACAGCAGTTTATCCCTCATCTCTCTATCATGAAAGATGAGTAAAATTACTGTAAATTACACAGAATAATGAAATTACTGTACAGTACAGTACTATACTGTAATACTGGTACTGTAGGTTACAGTACCAGTATTTTTAGTGTCCAGTTGCCTACTGCATCAGCAAACTTAGTTCACCACTTCAAAGACAACTGGACATTCGTACACCCCCTCCCCTACTTAGTCTGTTAATGAGAGGTTTTACTGTATTAAAAAAGCTGTCTCCTCTACCTTAATGAACACAAATTAATAGTATAGTTTACCTCTAAGTAAAATACATTAGCACTGAAGGTTTGAAGCTTATCAGATGAGATACACAAACTATCATATAAAAACCCAGATTTCAATTATAGTACCTCAATAAAAACATAGCCTAAACTCAATGGGTGCCATCCTATCTATACGATGCATCAGTTATTAAAAACTGAAGCCATTAAGTGGCACACTAAAGTTATTTCAAGTAAATATTGCACCATTTTTAACCCTTTCAGGGTCGAGACCCCCCTGATTTCAAACTTGTTCTCAAGGTCAAAGGAAAAAAAATTAAATGATAATCTTGTTCCAAAGGTAATGAAACCAAAAGTACAAAATCTGATGGAAAACTCATGGAATTACACTCTTGCTGCAAAGTTAGCAGTCTTGGTGATATTTACACATCAGTGATTTCGCCACTTTAAGCCCTATTTTCAGCTAATTTCAATGTTCCAGTTGCCCAAACACAGTTATTTCACTAGTATTCTTTCTATTCTATCAACTGAGTACAAGAAACCACCCATTTACAGTGGAACCCTGAATATTGGCCGCTGCAGGTATCAGCCGAATTGTATTTAGGCCAGTTTTGGGTCGAAATTTTGCTCAGTGTTTTGGCCAGTGCCTCACAAATTGGCCATATTAGACGCATCAGCCCGCCTCCCACTGTGACGCTGTGCGTAGGTGAGTCAGTCTCTCTGTGTCTCTCGGTGAGTGAGCATATACTCCGCGCTTTTATCCAAACATTTCCTTAAAATCCATTGGTTTTTATGCTTGTTTATTAAGTGTGACTGTGAAATAAGCCACCATGGGCCCAAAGAAAGTTCAGAGTGCCAGCCCTTTGGTAAAGAAAGTGAGAAACACGATAGAATTGAAGAAAGAAATTGTAGAAAAATACGAGAGTGGTGTGCGTGTGCTCCAGCTTGCCAGGATGTATGGCAAAAACAAATCAACAATCACTTCTGTCCTGGCAAAGAAAGAAAAAATCAAGGAAGCTGATGTGGTGAAAGGGGTAAACATGTTAACAAAAAAGAGATCACAAACAATGGAAGATGTGGAGAAGTAGTAGTAGTTGTGGATCAGCGAAAAACAGTTAGCAGGAGATAGTATTTCAGAGACGATCATTTGTGAAAAGGCAGGTAGTTGCATGCGGATTTCATAAAGAAAATGCCTAGAACTAGCGTTGATGTTAGTGAATTTAAGGCCAGCAGAGGCTGGTTTGACAGATTTAAGAAGTGTAGTGGCATACACAGTGTCGTAAGGCATGGTGAGACTGCAAGTTCAGACAAACATGCGGCTGAAAAATTTGTGCAGGAATTCAAGGGGTACGTAGAGACTGAAGAATTCCACCCCTACAAGTGTTCAATTGTGGCAAAACAGGCCTCTTTTGGAAGAAAATTCCAAAGAGGACCTACATCATGCAGGAGGAAAAGGCATTGCCAGGACACAAGCCTATGAAGGATAGGCTAACTCTTTTGTTCTGTGATAATGCTAGTAGAAATTTCAAAGTGAAGCCTTTAGTGGTGTAACACTGAAAATCCCAGTGTGTTCAAGAAAAACAATGTCGTCAAGAGTAAACTGTGTGTGATGTGGAAAGCTAATCATAAGGCATGGGTCACGAGGCAAATTTTCATTGACTGGGTCCATGAAGTGTTGGCCCAGTGTGAAAAAAATACCTCCGGGAAAAATAAATTTGCCATCAGGTGTCTCCTGGTAATGAACAATGCTCCTTCTCATCCTCCAAACTTGGTAGACCAATTGCCTAGGGATTTCAGTTTTATAACAATGAAGTTCTTGCCTCCTAATGCTACTCCTCTCATCCAGCCTATTAACCAGCAAGTCATTTTTAGCTTCAAAAAAACTCTACACAAAAGCAGCGTTTCAAAGGTGCTTTGAAGTGACCTCGGACACTGAATTGACCCTAAGAGAGTTCTGGAGGAATCACTTCAATATCCTCCACTAGGTAAGGCTTGGCAGGGAGTGACTTCCAGGACTTTGAACTCTTCTTGGAGAAAATTGTAGCCAGAATGTGTCCTCCAGAAGGATTTTGAAGGGTTTCAGGCTGACCCTGAGGACCCTACACCTGTTGTGCAATCTACTGTGTCTTTGGGAAAGGCCATGGGGTTGAACATGAGTGGCAAGGATGTGGAAGAGTTGGTGTAGGACCACAGGGAAGAGCTAACCACTGAAGAGCTGCAAGACCTTCAACTGGAACAGCAAAAGACCACAGCTGAGGACCTTGCTTCAGAGGAGGAGGAAAAGAGAGGGAAGGACATGCCTTCTTCAGAGATTAAGGAGATTTGTGCAATGTGGAGTAGGCTGCAAGCTTTTGCTGAGAAATATCACCCTGACCAAGCTGAAACAAACCACATCTGCAACAAGTTCAGTGACAAAACCTTGGCCCACTTCAGGTAAATCTTAAAGAGGCACCAGAAACAGACCTCTGAACAGTTTTTTGTGCGACAGGGGTCCAGTCTTTCGAGTTGGGTTTAGGCCATTTAAAGACAAAGAAGGGAAGTAAGCCCAGAGAGGGACTTGATACCTGAAGTCATTATAGAGGGAGATTCCCCTTTTAAACAATAACCTCTCCTCCCTCTCCCCCCCCTCCCTGTCTTCCACACGCCAACAAGAGTCTTCAATACAGGTATGTAAAACTGATTTAAATGTTCATTTAATGTAACGTCATTGTTTTGAGTATTAAAAAAAGTTTTAAATTTACAAAATGTATTTTTTTTATTATTTTTGGGTGTCTGGAACGGATTAATTGTACTTACATTAATTTTTATGGGAAATCTTTCTTCTTTCTTTCAACAAACAAGCCGTATCCCACCGAGGCACGGTGGCCCCCCCAAAAAAAAAGTTTCTCTTTTTTAAATTTAGTAATTTATAAAGGAGAAGGGGTTACTAGCCCCTTCCTCCCGGCATTTTAGTCGCCTCTTACAACACGCATGGCTTACGGAGGAAGAATTCTGTTCCACTTCCCCATGGAGGTAAGAACAAGTAAGAAAATATCAGAAAACCCAGAGGGGTGTGTGTATATATACACACATATGATAGAGTGGATAGAGGAGCAATGTGGCAGATGTTGCAAGTATATGGAATAGGTGGTAAGTTATTAAATGCTGTAAAGAGTTTTTATGAGGATAGTGAGGCTCAGGTTAGGGTGTGTAGAAGAGAGGGAGAATACTTCCCGGTAAAAGTAGGTCTTAGACAGGGATGTGTAATGTCACCATGGTTGTTTAATATATTTATAGATGGGGTTGTAAAGGAAGTAAATGCTAAGGTGTTCGGGAGAGGGGTGGGATTAAATTTTGGGGAATCAAATTCAAAATGGGAATTAACACAGTTACTTTTTGCTGATGATACTGTGCTTATGGGAGATTCTAAAGAAAATTGCAAAGGTTAATGAATGAGTTTGAGATGTGTTAAAAGGTAGAAATTGAAAGTAAACAAGAAAAGAGTAAGGTGATGAGGGTATCAAATGATTTAGACAAAGAAAAATTTGGGATATCAAATTGGGGAGGAGGAGTATGGAGAAGTGAATGTTTTCAGATACTTGGGATTGACGTGTCGGCAGATGATTTATGAAGGAAGGTTAATCATAGAATTGATGAGGGAAAAAAGGTGAGTGGTGCATTGAGGTATATGGGAGTCAAAAAACGTTATCTATGGAGGCAAAGGGAAGGAATGTATGAAAGTATAGTAGTACCAACACTCTTATATGGGTGTGAAGCTTGGGTGGTAAATGCAGCAGCGAGGAGGCGGTTGGAGGCAGTGGAGATGTCCTGTTTCAGGGCAATGTGTGGTGTAAATATTATGCAGAAAATTCGGAGTGTGGAAATTAGGAAAAGGTGTGGAGTTAATAAAAGTATTAGTCAGAGGGCAGAAGAGGGTTGTTGAGGTGGTTTGGTCATTTAGAGAGAATGGATCAAAGTAGAATGACATGGAAAGCATATAAATCTATAGGGGAAGGAAGGCGGGGTAGGGGTCGTCCTCGAAAGGGTTGGAGAGAGGGGGTAAAGGGGGTTTTGTGGGCGAGGGGCTTGGACTTCCAGCAAGCGTGCGTGAGCGTGTTAGATAGGAGTGAATGGAGACGAATAGTACTTGGGACCTGACGATCTGTTGGAGTGTGAGCAGGGTAATATTTATTGAAGGGATTCAGGGAAACCGGTTATTTTCATATAGTCAGACTTGAGTCCTGGAAATGGGAAGTACAATGCCTGCACTTAAAGGAGGGGTTTGGGATATTGGCAGTTTGTAGGGATATGTTGTGCATCTTTATATGTATATGCTTCTAAACTGTTGTATTCTGAGCACCTCTGCAAAAACAGTGATAATGTGTGAGTGTGGTGAAAGTGTTGAATGATGATGAAAGTATTTTCTTTTTGGGGTCACCCTGCCTCGGTGGGAGACGGCCGACTTGTTGAAAAAAAAAAAAAAAACATGTATGTGTAGTGTGACCTAAGTGTAAGTAGAAGTAGCAAGACATACCTGAAATCTTGCATGTTTATGAGACAGAAAAAAGGACACCAGCAATCCTTTTTTTTTTTTTTTTCAACAAACCGACCGTATCCCACCGAGGCAGGGTGGCCCAAAAAGAAAAACAAAAGTTTCTCTTTTTTAAATTTAGTAATTTATACAGGAGAAGGGGTTACTAACCCCTTGCTCCCGGCATTTTAGTCGCCTCTTACAACACGCATGGCTTACGGAGGAAGAATTCTGTTCCACTTCCCCATGGAGATAAGAGGAATTAAACAAGAACTAGAAAGAAAATAGCAGAAAACCCAGAGGAGTATGTGTGTATATATACGCTTGTACATGTATGTGTAGTGTGACCTAAGTGTAAGTAGAAGTAGCAAGACATACCTGAAATCTTGCATGTTTATGAGACAGAAAAAAGGACACCAGTAATCCTACCATCATGTAAAACAATTACAGGCTTTCGTTTTACACTCACTTGGCAGGACGGTAGTACCTCCCTGGGCGGTTGCTGTCTACCAACCTACTACCCAGGTTATGGGAAATATTCCTTCAAATTCAGGCCTTTTCGAATTTAGGCTGACCTTCTGGAACGGATTTCAGCCGATATTCGAGGTTCCACTGTACTTATTTCAACTACTCAATAAAGTGATCTGAAATCATCAATTTGGCCAATTTTGCACGAAATTAAAAAATTACCAATTTAAAAATACGGTGCAGAATAAGAACAATGTAAGACATTCCTGGCACTAAAAAAAATTTCCTCTGTTCATTACTTACATCCCCAGACCTCTCTTATATTAAACCTGCTTTCCATTTTGAATTTTTATTCACACAAAAAATAGAAGATTTACTGTTATGCATACTGCATTACTGTAATAATTGTATAAATAATGTCAGTATATTTGTGAACATGATATCAGACCGACCAGTTGCATGCGTATGGACGAGTGACATAACTGTGTACTCTGGAAATATCAGCAAAAATCAAACATTTTTGCTACTTTGAGCTCAATTTCAAGTTACTTTCGGCCGAGAAACTAATCAAAATCATATCTATTTCTGTAATATATCTTCCATTCTATCAAATAAGATAAAAAAAACGAGAATACAACCATAAAAGCCATATGAAAATACACTGCAAAGTCGCTGTATTAACCACAAAAACATGGTCACAGTTTTCCCCCATTATGAAAAGGTGCTGAACAATTTTTTTTTATGGTGCACACATACTGCAAAACCCCATTCTTCATATTGGGGCCCAAAATTTTACTCCCAGTTTATCTGAGAGAGAGAGCTCATTCGCAGAACATCCAACCCAAACTTAAGTGTAGACTAGGGGCCCACCCTAAAAGGATTTTAGAATAAATGGCCCCATACAGGGACCCCGGTTAACATATTTTTTCACCCAGTATGTTCAGGTGCCGTAGCCCAAATTTGTTCCCCAAAAGAAATATTGTAAATAGTTAGTCCATTTCAGCCCCCAAAACAACACGAAAAATCCCTACAAATTGGTGCATTGGGAGGTAACGTTATGCGGGGGTCCAGTATACCCTATAACAATCTAAACTTCTTCTAAGTAAGACACATAAAAATAAAAGTTTGAAGCAAATCGAAAAGGCTTTCTAAAGCTACTTGCAAAAACCAAAATCGGATTGTTCATATGAACTGACTAGAGGCACCTCACATCCCAATATATACTAAATTTTTTCTGCATTTAAATCACCAAATTTAAAATTTAAAGCCAATCTCCTCAGGATTCAAAACGAAAATTTTAAAAAGACAAAAAAATTTCTTCAATCACTTATGATATTCCTTCGGGATATTTTAATTACTTTTAAAATACAGCTTAATTTTCCCCTTTAATAAAAAAAAATATAAAAAAGGGAACAAAACGGGACTTTTTAGACCCCATATAAAACCCTTCATCTGTAATGATAGTCTTCCCCCTATTTTTAATGATTTCCTCCTGATTTGCTTAACACTCAGACTGCTAATATCCTCGCACTATCTATAAGCTGTTTTGTCATAGTGTGCAGGCTCTGAATCCTCAGCTGTGGAATTATCACAAATGCTATTAACGAGCTGGTATTCCCTCTTGTCAGCAGGGTCAAGCGGTTTCCAGCTGCCATCAGCAAGCAGTATTATTTTGTCAGTGTCAACATTTTTTTCTAAGACTGATGTGAAATACCTGTAGGAAATTTTTTTAAATAAAATAAAAGTTGGTAGCATATGGTAATAAGGTTTAGTCATATAATCTATTATAATAACTGCACTGAAGGAAATTTAAAATGATGAGAAAAGATCTTTAATTTTAGAAATCTCTCTCAAAACAATGCCATCTGCTAATTTGATATCCTAATATGAAAAACTTGCTTATATGTACGTACTGAGAAACATGAAGTTATCATAATTATTGCTCTCCTAACTGCTTGTACAAATGAGAGTGAAGATGAAGAAATGTGAAAAAGGTAGATACAATTAAATAAATGTGACAATGTGTACAGATTATTAATTCTGAAAAAAGAAAATAAAACAGGTAATCATTTTTTTTTTCAACAAGTCGGCCATCTCCCACCGAGGCACTGTCACCTCACTCATACATAATCATTATTTTTGCAGAGGCACTCAGATACTACAGTTTAGAAGCATATGTAAAGATTATAACATATTCCTCCAAACTGCCAATATCCCAAACCTCTTCTTTAACTCGTAAACGATCCAAACGTATATATACATTTTTTTAACATTTGAAAGTATGTAAACAAAGTAGATCTTCTTTTTGTTTTTCTACATTTGAAAATGGTAAAAAAACTTTGATCTAATTTTTTTTTATTGTTATATTTGAAAATATGTAAAAAAACTTTTTCATCGTGCACTACCAAAGGAACGAATCTGCTTGGACCCTTTACAGGTTAAAGTGCAGGCAAAAACATTAGCATTGTTAGGAGTAGCTAAAAAACAGCTTCAGTAGGGATGAAGTGTCCCCCCCCTTCCTCTTTAACTTTTATACCCGTTTCCCCATGACCCAATCAATCATTCACACCTTTTCATATTCACTTTTAATGAATTTTCATTCTGTTTCTTTTTTTTATATAAAGTAATACTTGCTTACACTCCCTTTAATTACAAACTTTTTAATCTTTTATTGAGAAAAGAAATCGGCTGCCTTACCCTCATCTGCAGGTTGGTATACTCTGTGGCGTGAACAAAAAAGGACACAAAACCCCTTAGGGTTTTCATTCATTTTATTTAAGAATATAAAAAGCATCAAAGCACTGAAAGTGGCTACATGTGGAAGCTCGGCATGGTAGCTTCATTCTAGCTTTACCTAGAGGACATAGTAAAGAGCAATGAAGGGGTTTTGGAGGCTATTCATCCCAGAATTGTCCCCCTGTAGCTTCTCTTTAACTGTGGATAAACAACAACAAATATTAATTTTTTAATATCATTGTCAATACTGTCATGCTATCTATAGGCCATTTTGTATTTTAATAATATAAGTGTAACAACTAAAGTAGTAGGTTGTAGACAGCAACCATCCAGGGAGGTACTACTGTCCTGCCCAAATAATGTTAAAATGAAAAGCCTGTAATTGTTTTACATGATGGTGGGACTGCTGGTGTCTTTTGTCTGTCTCATAAACATGCAAGATTACAGGTACGTCTTGCTACTCCAATTTACATTTAGGCACACTACACTACATGAACAAGCATATATAACACACCCCTCTGGGTTTTCCCTGCTATTTTCTTTCTTGCTCTTGTTCTTGTTTATTTCCTGTTATCCCATGGGGAAGTGGAACAGAATTCCTTCCTTCGTAAGCCATGCATGTTGTAAGAGGCGACTAAATGCCGGGAGCAAGGGGCTAGTAACCCCTTCTCCTGTATATATATTACTAAATGTAAAAGAAGAAACTTTCGTTTTTCCTTTTGGGCCACCCCCCCCTCGTGGGATACAGCCGGTGTGTTGAAAGAAGTGTAAAAACCCAAATATAAGGGTTTTGGAATGTGTGTACCCCGTGGCCCCTTCATTTTCTAATTCCCCCACACCTCTCGGTGTGAGTAACAGATGAAACCTGGACTCCATTCAGGCAGGACATTAGCTTGACAGACACAACCATTGATAATACAGTGGTACCTTGACCTACGAGTTTAATTCTTTCAGTGACCAAGCTTGTAACTCAATTTGCTCGTATATTAAATCAATTTTCCTCATTGAAATTAATTGAAATGCCATTAATCCATTCAGCCCCCCCCCCAAAAAACATATTTTTTTGTTACAGGTTTCTAAATAATAAAAATGTGTATTTATAAATAAGAAATTATTCTTGCCTTTTTTGCCAATCCCAGCAATGTTTCAGAAATGCTGGAGTACATATGAAACTCCTTGAAGCACGGTGTAAGATGAGTGTCACTCCACTGCTGACAGTGCAGCAGTGGAGTGACATTTGATGATCATGCACTGCCTTGGCTTTATTTTTCACCGTTACACATAAACATGTCTGTCTGTCTGTCTGTATCTGTTTGTTTCTATCTGTCTACAGTGGACCCTCGGGTAACGGCATTAATCTGTTCCAGAGAGCTTGCCTTTAACCGATTTTGCCATTAGCTGAATTAATTTTCCCCATAAGAAATAATGGAAATCCAATTAATCCGTTTCAGACACCCAAAAGCATTAAAAAATATTTTTTTTAAGATTAGATATAGGATATACATAAAAAAAAAAGGGTGGGGTTTTCGAACCCCCGGGGGGTACCCCCCTTTGCCAGGGTTAAAAACGAAAGTTTAAAATTTTTTCCCCCTTTTTTGGGGCTTTTGCTTTCATAAATTAAAGTTAAGTACGTTTTTGACCATTACTTTAAAAATAAAAAATTGTACAAAAAAATTCCCAATCGGGGTTTTTTAATTCCTACTTTGTTTTTTTTTTCCCCCTTTTTTACCTTGGGGGGAAAAGAAGAAGCCAGGTGGTGGGCCCAAAAATTTGGGGGAAAGGGGGGGTAAAAACCCCTTTTTGTATTTCTAAAAAAAGGAAAACCCTTTTTTTTTCGGGGGCCCCCCCGTGGGGGAATTGGGGGGGGTTAAAAAAATTTTGCAGCAAAAAAAATATAAACCAAAAAAATAAAAAAACTTTAAACTCACCCCCAACCTTTTTCTCGGGGGGGGAAGACGGTAAGGCGGGGAAAATTTTAAATTTTTTAATTAAAAAACTTACAGTTTTTACCATCAAACATTTAAAGACAAAAAAAAACAAAAAAACCCTGGGGTTTTTTCCGACACGCTTATGCCCAGGTTTTCCCTTCCCCAAAATTCGTCCCAAAACCCCTAAAAAAAAGGGGGGTACAAACCCTCAAGTGTCCTCCTAAAACCGCCCCGAAAAGGGAAAGGGCTCCCACCCCTTTGGGTTTGTTTTTTTCCAATTTGTTGGGGAAAGGGAAAAAAAAACCCCCCCAAAATTTTGGGGGTAAAAAAGCAAAAGCACCCCCTGTTGGGTTTCCCTTTCCCCATTTTGGGTTTACCGGGCCTACTGGTTTTTTTTACCCAAAATTTCGAAAACCCACTTGCTGGTCACCGGGGGCGGGTTTAAGGGGTTTTTAAGTGGCTTTTTGGGGCCCCGGGGGGGGGTAAAAAGGGGGCCACCCCCGGCGTTCCCTAAAAGGGGGTGGGCGGGGGGGGGTTTTAATTTTGGCGTTGGGGGGTTTTTTTTTCCCTGGGGTTTTGAGGGGGGTTTGGTTGGGAAAAAGGGGGGGGGGGGTAGGGGAGAAATTTTGGGGGGGTTTTATAGTTTGTGGGGGGTGTTAAGGGGGGGCCCCGGGTTTTAAGGGGGGGGGGCCCCCCAAAACCCCAAGGGGGAGCCCCTTTTTGAAGTTTTTTCCAAATTTGTGCGGGTGGGAAAAGGGGGGCCCAAAGGGGGGATTAAAGGGAAAGCCATTGGCGGGGGGAAAGGCGTGGAGGGAGGGAGTTGCCGTGCCCCCCCCCCCCCCCCCCCCCCCCCCCAAAACCCCCCGGGGTTTTTTTTGTAGGGCGTATTTCCCCAAAAGGGTGGGGAAGGGAGGAAGGCCCTTTTGGGGGGTAAATGGGGGTTTTTTTTTTTTTTTTTTCCCTTTTTTTTTTCCTTTTTTTTTTTTAGAAAATTTTTGTTTTTTTTTTCTTCTTTTTTTTTTTTTTTTTCTTTTTTTTTTTTCTTTTTTTTTTTTTTTTTCTTTTTTTTTTTTGTTTATTTTTTTTTTTTTTTTCTCTCCTTTTTTTTTTTTTTTTTTCGTTTTTTTTTTTTAAAATTATTCCCCCTTTGTAATAAGAATTTTATTACCATCACCCCCCTTTAAATTTTTTTTTTTTTTTTTTAACGCTTTTCACAGACCCCAATTTTTTTCCCCCCCCTTACCCTATTTTCTTTTTTCGCCCCCCATGCCCCCCCTTTCCCCCCCCCTTTTTCCCCCCCCTTTTTTGCCCGGTCTCTCCACGTTTTTAAAAATTTACTAAAAAATGAAAAAAAATTTTTTCCCCCCTTTAAAGTGTTTTTTCCCTTTTTTTTTTTTTTTTTTTTTTTTAATTTTTTGCCAAATTTTTCTTAAAAAATTTTTTTTTAAGTAAATTTTTTTATTTTTTAAATTTTTTTTTTTTTCATTAAGGTTTAAATTTTAAATGTTTTTTTTATTTTTTTTTTTTTTATTTTTTAACCAATTTTTTTCCCATTAATTTTTTTTACGTAAGTTTTTCTTTATTTTGTTATTGTTTGCTAAAATTTTTAGGTTTTGGTGAATTTTTTTTTTTATTTTATTTTTATTATTTTCCCTTTCATTTTTTAGTGTTTTTTTATTTTTATTTTTTTTCCTCATTTTTTTTGTATTATTTTTAATTTTTTTTATGATTTAAATTATTTAAATTTTTTTTCCCCCTTTTTGTAAATTTGTTTTTTATTTTTTATTTTTTTTGTTTACTTTTTTATTTAATTTTTTAACAAAGAAAATAAATTTTTTTTTAAACAGCCCCATATTTTTTTATTTTTTTTTTAATATTTTTTTTATTTTTTTTCCCCTTTTAAAAAAAGGAGCTTTTGATTTTCATTTTTTTTTTACTTTTTAAATTAATTCTTTTTTTTTAAAATTTTTTAGCTTTTTTAATTTTTTTTTTTCATTATTTTTTCCCTTTTTTCTTTGCAATTCTTCCTTATTTTAGCTTGTATCTTTAT